CCGCTCTCCTTGCTTCATTTCCACTTCCTGTCTGGTTTTCTCACCTACACCTCCTGCCTGGCCAATCAGTGTTTATTTAAAACATGATTGACAGAATACAGACAATTCTCCCTCAAAATGAGAGGCTCTGGATTTATTCAGAGTTAAGAAAAATTATCTTTGACCAAGGGAGACCACCTGAGCAATCTCCAGTAGGAACGGATGGTACAGATGTCTGAGTTCTTCATCCACAACAGGTTCAAGACTGCTGCCTAAGATGATCAAGACTCACAGGATACTTCAGTCAGGACTTGATCATAACTCTAAATTTTCTTTAGGTCCCCATAAGATTATCAGCGCCCCCAACCAGCAGGAAGTAGCCTGGAATATTACGCCCACATTCCCCAAAAATGAATTATGGATATTTTCCTTTTTTTTAAAAAAAAAAAAAAAGAGGGTGAAGTGGTGCAGAAGAATTGTCTGTATTCTGTCAATCATGTTTTAAATAAAAGCAACCAGAAATGTCTACCTTTTCTAGGGGAAAAAAAAAATCTTTTGTGTTTGTTCAGGCCTTTTGACCTGGAGATGTCAAGGTATTTCACAAGCAATTTCTTTCGCTCGTGTTCCTGCTGTGGAGGCATCAGCAGAGGCATTAGTGCAAGCTTCTCATTAGGCTCCCAGGAAATGGGAGCAAAGGAGAAAGGAGTCACTGTGCTTACAACTTTTCCCATCGTTGATGCCCCCAAGAAAGCTGCCTGACGAGGCCTTTATGCCGTTGTTTCCGCCAACCTGGTAGCAGACATACTGTGGGGGTACCTGCTTGATTCGGAGTGATCCTCCTCTGAGAATCACTCCCTGGATTCATAGAAAGGAGTCCTAGAAAGCAGGTTTGTTCTGTGTTGTTTCCCATCTTCCCTCAGCCTCGATGGAAAGGAACGGAAGGGAGACCGACCCTAACCAGGGTCAATTGGATTCTCTGAGTTGTGACTTGCATTGTCATTTGGAGACCTGCTCAGTGTTTAAGTTAGGAACAGTGAGGGAAGCGAGAGCCAAGATGCAATCTCAGTTTCGTCTTAGAACTAGTCACACATCTACTTTGGTTCCTACCCACTTTCTAGTTCCCAGTTCCAGACCCCTGTGAGATCCAGCCCCAGGGTCAGCCTTTAGGCTGAATGGAACAGCCTTGAATCTAATTATTAACTTGTCTTCTCCCGCACACATTAGCTCCATGTGGATTCTGCTCCGTGCCAATGAACATTTTCATCATATTTTAGAGAGGTCTCTTCAATCCTCATTCTCACTGAAAAATCTGTCTTGCCACGGTTCAGTTCTTCTGCTGTGCCTCTGCCTGTTTCTCAGTCTACCCTCAGGGTCGCTTCTCCTACCCGCACTTTACACTTATGTATTCTCTAAAATCCTTTTCTCAGTCCTTCTCTCCGACCCTTTCCCAGCAAATCTTACCCCCTCTACAGTTTCACTTAATACTTAACTGCATCTCAATCTGTATCTCTGTGCCACACCCCTTGACTGCTGTCGTCAAGTCACTCAGGCTGCCCTTACCCACGCCGTCTCTCCCCTCACTGTCTCTCAAGCTGCAGGATACAGAGTCATTCTCAGGCTGTTTCTGACTGTTATCCTTTTACTGCAATGCATTCCGTCGTTGTAATCCCACAGTTGAAGAACTTTCTGTAGTTTCCAAGAACTTTCCTTCTTATGATATAGCCACCCCTAGCTACTGTCAATCATCCTCTGTACTCGGCCAAAATTATTCCTAAACACATACTAGCCAAGGTTATTCATACACTAAGGCAAAAACTCAATAAACAAAAATCAAAAGGTCAGCAGATCCATATTTCTTACGAAGGCCATGATACTTTATTTATTATAGAAGTTCCTGTAGAATTTGCCTTCAAACCCCATTTTAGCTTCATTTCCCACTCCAGTTAGTACAATTATCACACTGTCTAAAAGTTGTTTCTCAGTACTTCATGCATGCATGCATGCATCCATCCATCCATATACCCATTAATTACATATTTGGAAGGCACCAAAACTACAGTCACAACTTGGGCCTGATGATGTTCCAAAGGAAATTCCCCATCTGAGAAGAGCGATGCATAATTTCATTGTCATCAACACAAAATACTGAATTAGTGGGCTGCCTGCCACCAGCAACGACTGGGAGAACCCTGAAGTGACAATGGGGTGCTGGGTCCCTGGTGGCCTTTGAAAATGGCTTGATTCATTGGCCTGCAAAGGAACTCACTCACTAGGAGATGTCTTCTGTTTTTCACTGATGGCAAGAAATGACATCCTACTGGAAAGGGTAGGTTAACAGAGGCAACAAGGAAAAATACAGAGCAAATAACATGATTTTAAATGCTTTAAGAAATCATTATCTTAAAATGTCTAAAACTACTGCCAAGCTTATTAATATTGAAATAATAATATTAATATTGGAAAAGATTTCTGACTACTGTATGCTGAAAGAAACTTCTTATTTCTATGACCAGAATGCTACCTAAAACAGCACATCAGCTTGTTAGAGAAATTCAGGGTTCATGAAAATGCTGGGTCCCTCCCCAGTAACTGAAGTAAGTAGTTCACACATCACTCAGCTTGGTGGCCATGGCCTCAGTAGCTACTCCAATCTTCTGAAACTACTTATGAGGTCACATGAGACATTTTTCTCTGACTTTAAGACCTGTCCACCTCTCAGAGGTACAGTATGGCAAAACAAAAAGAGAAGGCTCTGGGGCTGAGAAACCCTGCTCATCAATCCAACATCTACCCCATACCAGCTAATTAGATCTCTCCAGGCCTTGGCATTCTCAATAGGTAAACTGAGATAATGGCAGGCCTACATTTTGCAGAAGCATTAAAAATCACTAAGAAAACAAAGCACGAAGCCTGAGTTCAATGTCAGGGTCCCAGTGGCAAAGCATAGTTTCTTACATACTGTTTAGGTTTTAAGACCTAGAGGTCTTCTGTGAGGAGGGGCACCCTTAATCTCCCGGAGGCCACATCATGTCCACTGTTTTAGAACATCAGAAAAAAGAAAAGGAAGTTTTGAAACAAAATTCTCTGTTTGATAGGGTGAAAACTACCATTTTCTCTCATCTGATGAAGTCACCAAAATGAAAGAACAATGTCCGTTTGCCTATAGGAAACTGCAAAATACACGTGGGTGGGGGCTTCGGCTGCTGTTGAGTCACAACCATGTAAAGAAGACAGTCTGTCATGCACATATGTGTGTTGAAAACATATTAGGAAAGAGTAACCAATGCTATCTAATGGTCTTTCTTAATGATTTACATTTTTGCAAGCTTCACAATATCTCCTACACTTCAAGCTTCTATTGTTTGACAGGCAGAAATAATGCACAAATCTGTCTAGGGTCCGGTCTGTCTATTTAGGGTCAGGTCTGTCTGTCTGTCGGCACTAGGCACTTACAGTGAACCTTCAAATGTAAAGCAGAGCCATCACACTTGGAAATACGTTTTCAGTTCAAAGTCTTCCTGATGATGTAATGGCAGTTACATCAGGAAGATGGCCCTCTTCAGAGACTCTCAGGAAGACCACACAGCACAACAAACTTGGAAGTCTTGACTTTTTGTTGCCTCTGACCTTCTCTTTCCTCTCTTGTTGCTTTTATATGCATGCACAGTCAAAAAAGATGTGTGAATGCATGTGAGCATGCATGTGTGTTTGTAAAGGAAAAAGGAATATATATGTATATATATATACACATGCACTTATATATGTTTACATATACCTGTGCACACATGCATGGCTAGGTATATGCATATACACATATATACATACACATGCATATTCTTTTTCTTGAGAACACAACGATCCATGTGCTCTTCCATGCCAGAAACATCACAAAAATAACTGGATTTGTGACAGGGTTGCCCTGTGACAGAACTAGATTTCAGAATCTTGTCGAGAAACCATGTAAAGTCTTCATTCCCACTCAGTCTTTCCAGTAAAGGCCCGTGCCCTCATGTAAAAACACCCGGGGGGGGGGGTGTTGGAGATTAGAGTCAAAAGTAAATCTGACCTTCTAAAGACATGGACTCTTCTATATTGCTATTAAATCGTTTTAAGATCAGTAAAGGCAGGTCTGACACAGTCAGGGCACTTGACCTAAGGTCATCTAGACAAGGGCTTTTGAAACTATGCTGGGCTTCTTGAATGCACGCTGAGGACTTTTGAGTATTTTTGCAGAAACACAGCTTTCAGTAGTCTGTGAAATAATAACATTTTAGTATATCAAAAGGCTTTGTTCTGCCTCATGTTCCCTTTTAATTCTCAAATTATGCTCTTGCCCTCCCACTGGTATAAGACACACTTCCAAGGCCGGAGCCTTATGGCATGGCGGAAGGAACAGGAACTTTCCAAACTCAAGTCAATCCTCAACAGTCACCCCGAGTTAACCAGGTTCTGTTGTCCCTCAGCCCCAGTTTCTTACTCTGCAAAATGGTATGTGTTAAGAGGAGAGCACAGGTAAGGATGCACTGAGCTCCTTGTTTGAACAGTGAGGGTCAGAGGGCAAGCACTGTCTGCAGTTGTTGATATTGACTCAGAGTCTGAGAACTGCCAGTTGTCCTATGGAAGTGAAAAATTAATGTCTAATTTGATACATCTTATAAAAGAAATGCATTGAAAATGAATGAGAAAAGTAGCCCAGTACCTGCCCCAATCTTATTTTTCACATTCCATTAACATTGTTATTATTTTGGGTGCCCTTCAACCATCTCTGCAGATAATTATGATTCATGGATCATAGGTTTGAAGCAGCCATAATTATTTCCTGGACATAGGTTGCTATATGTGGACAGGTTCTCCATATTTAGCCTGTAAATATGAAAACTTGGCTATGTTACCAAAATGCAGGATATTGGCAATCTGAACATAATTAAACCTGTTTCATTATAGAGGAAATATCAGGCCCAGAAACTCTTCACAAACTGGAATTTTGATTTTTTTTTCTTTCCTTACCAATTAATCCATAGGAAGCCACAGAAGAGCCTGTTGGGGAAGACACCCAAGGAGACATTTAATCCCAGTATGAGTTTCAGCCACACGTCACAGGAAGAGCAATGAAGCTACCCTTCACCTTGCACCATGCTTCCCTCAAAGGATGTCAGGGGGGACAAGGATGCCATGTTCCTTTAAAAATTCCTGGCCAAGTTTTTCTTTTCACCTTCCGTTTGAGAGAAGGAAGAGTTGGGGGGGAAAGACAGAAGGAGAGAGAGGAAAGAAAAGGCCTGGGCTACTTGGAAAAACCATGACCTTAAAAAAGCTGAAACCTGTCCTGAAGGCAGTGGAGGAATGTGATCTTTCAAGGGAGACCCAAGCAGCCAATGGAACAGTGCCGCTGCAACAGACCAACGCTGACCATGCTAAAATGCATTGCCAGTGCATGTGAAGCTTGCAGGTAGCACTAAGGTTGCCAACCACTCAATACTGGCATGCGGATACTATTCTAGATTGTGCAGGTGGGTCCTCTCAATCAAAGAGGTCCTTAAAAATAGAAGGAGGATGGATGGAAAGAAGACCAGCATGGTAGGATATGTTCAGAGTAGCATGGTTTAAAAATACTAAAAACCTTGCCAGTGATAATTGCTTAATCAGTAGGTTGACTTGGGGAAGGGAAGGAGTAAATAGGAATGTAACAGTGAGTTCGGGGTCACTGGCTGATGCAAAATGAACCCCTCAGGAATGTAGTGGGGAGCATGTGTCCTGCCTACCTATGTAGCCTCTGATTCTTCATCTGATGTCACTACCACCACGATCTCACCTTGGGAACATTTCTCCTGAACTCTTGAACTTTGTGAATTAGGAGGGGCCCTGCCACGCTCCAGCTCCCCTGCAGCGAGGTCTCGGGATCCAGACCTCATGCTGATCACCACAGCCTGTGTTTCTCTTGAGCCAGCAATTAGCTCAAGTTTAACCATTTGATGTAAAGCAATTCGATATTGGACCAGATTTGGGAAGTTTTGAAAATTGATTTGTCTTCTTTCTTAAAGGGATGGTTGGGAATTCTGAACTAATTTAGAATGATAGCAAGCGTTTTATCAAGACTAAAAGAAAGTCTAAATGAAAATGGAGAGAATGATGCACAGGATGAAGCCTAGCAGCAGAGTATGATAATCTTAGCAAATTGGAGCCTAGCATCCGAGTAGAGTATCCTCAGCACAGCAGAGCCCAAATGCAGAAAGTGCAGGGTCCTCGGGAAATTACTGAAGCCTCTGCATATTACTCACCAAAATGTTCATCACATGTGAACACACAAGTTAAATGAATCGATCAACTTTTGTTTTGATTAAATGCATGTGAACTGTATCCCTGCTATGTGAAAGTCCACAAATTCTTGACAGGCAAGGAGTGCTCACCGTCTCTCAGGTCCATAAACAGAAAGCGAGGCCTTTAGAAATGTCAGACACAAAGGCACTAATCCAATTTAGCCCATTGTAACTGATGTATAAAGCAGAAGGTAATTTAATAGACCTTTTCAGATATCTGAACTAGCAACATCATCCACCTAGAGTGCCTGCTTCCCAGAATTAGATGACCAAAGAGCCAAATCAGCAAATAAAAGGGTGCCGCAGGAATGGCAGTCAGGATAAATGACCGTGGTCCACTGGACTCGTTTTATCTGTACCAAGGTGAAGTCATGTGACCCAATTGCTGCCCAAGAGAAGAATGAATTTGAACCTCGTCAAATGAGAACATTTCTCCAGACTGTATTACGTAATCTTCAGTTTTCCTCTTTCTGCTGCAGATCAATGATTTCTCTTCTCTTTGCAGAAATGAACCAATTGTTTTGATTCTTTCTTCTCTCCAAATGTCTAGTCAAATTGTTTCCTGAATTGAAGTCTCGTTCTCTTACTGCTTTTGCAGTCTGTCCTGATCATTGGGGCTGACATTATAACGATTTTAACACTGTCCAGATGGATATATATCACGGCTTCCATATCTGTACTTCTAGGTTACTGGACTCACTTCCTGAGGCTGCTCTGGGTTAGATGAGCTCAGGGAGGCAAGCGCTGCCATGAGAGGAAGGCTAACAAGGATGAGACATTTCTGTGTTTCTCAACTGTCCGTGTCCTAAGTATCTGATACCTTAATTTTAACACATGGATAAAGTTTGGGAGGGAAGGATCTCTCAAGAAAGGGGTAGTAGAATATATAGTTATGGAGAAACAGTGGGAGGCTGGAATGGGGATTAAATGGGAGAAGAGAGGGGAGTGAGGGAACATGGTGAGTGACAGCTAGTATCAAGAGCCATCTTAGGGATAATATGGGAACCTAATGCTGTAGAAGCTTCTTAAAACAACACACACGTATGAAAGAAATCTAAATGGAATCACCAAATAACACCAGAGACAATGTGACAACTAGACATCTTTTGCCACCATGTGAAACTTCTAGTGTAGGAATGGGTTACATCTAATTGAGTTGTTGGCCAAAGGGGCCCCATGGAAACTCACAAACATCCCATTCTATTAACAAGACAAGGCTATTGGTCACTTTTCACAAACTGATAGGAAGACCCTATTGCCAAAGACAATACCTACATTATCTCTTTGAACACAGAGAAGTTGAGCTGATGCCTAAGTAGAACCTTCTCTCCTACTAACTAGTGTTCACAGTACTTATAGTAGTTTGAATAAAAATGGCCTCATAAGCTTATGGGGTCTGGCGCTATTAGGAGGTGTGGTGTTGTTGGAGAAGGTGTGGTGTTGTTGGAGGAGGTGTCACTAGGGGACAGGCTTTGAGGTCTCAGAAGCTCAGACCTAAGCAATGTGTCTCAGTCTCTTTCTGCAGCCTGCTGGTTTGGATGTAGAACTCTCAGCTCCTTCTCCAAAACCATGCCTGCCTGCATGCTGCAATGCTTCCTACCATGGCAATAATGGACTAAACCTTGCAACTGTCAGCCAGTCCCAATTAAATTTCTTTCTTTATAAGAGTTCTGTGGTCATGCTCTCTTCACAGCAATAGAAACCCTAGCTAAAACAGCACTGGAAGGCACTCTGCACACTACCAGGGGGAGAAAGGTACCCACCAACACAACTACAAACCCTGAGGTCTAAAACATTGACCTGCCTGTATGATAGATACATTGGTGTAATAGTGGCATAAACATCATGGGAGTAAACAACCTCAGTTTATCTGATTGGATTTGAGGCTCAATCCATGAGATGGAACCCAAATCCAGCACTGCTTAGGTGGCCAGGATTCTGTGTCTAGATAGGCCATGGGCCATGGGAAAACCAAATACTATTGTTCTACTAAATGAACACAGCAAGAAAATGACTCCTAATGACATTCTGCTCTATCATCATCAGAGAAACTTCCTCTTATAATAGATGAGAACTAATATAGAGATCCACCACTGAACAATGTGAAGAGGGTGGGAGACTTTGGACCACTCAGCTATAAATGGGATCCCTTTATGAAATCCCTCAGGGCTTAGGGAGCTACATGGAAGAGGGTGCAGAAAGAATATAAGAGCCGGAGGAGATGGATAACACCAAAGGACCAGTGTCTTCCAGATACAACAGTGCTGATGCACATGTGAGCTCACAGAAGCTGTGACAACGTGCACAAGGCCCATATAGGTTCAAGACAGATAGGCTCGGTGCTAAGGGGGAGATGTGGACAAGATCTTCTGTCCCTAAGAGGCTATCTCCAAATGGCAACTGTATGTGTATAAAGGAAAAATTAATTTTCTCCAGTGGACCCTCACTGGGAATATAAACCACTCTTAAGAATAGGCCCCTGCCCTGTTGAAGTAAACAGTATGTTTATGGATTTCTATGACTTGTATTGCTTTGTTTGGGTGTTTTTTGTTTTACTTTACAGTCTTCTGCATGTATGTTAGTTTTCTGACTTTTATGGGTTTGGTTATGTGAGTGAATGAATGTGTGCATGGATTTTTTGCCTTTTCCCTTTTATCCTTGTTTGTTTTCTAAAGAGAGAGAAAGAAGTTATAGAATTGAATGGGGGGGAGAATCTGAGAGGAGATGGGGAGGATAAACCATAATCATGATTTATTATTAAACATATATATTTCATAATAATATATGAAAAATTATTTTCAATAGAGAAAGAAGAAATGTTATAATATGACAAGTAATAAATCTTAGGTATATAATTCAATGACTCTGAAAAATGTATTTAAGTATCAAATACTCTGAGCAAGATCTCTAGAACATTTGTTCCTATAATTTCTTTTTTTTTTTTTTTGGTTTTTTGAGACAGGGCTTTTCTGTAGCTTTGGAGGCTGTCTTTGAACTAGCTCTTGTAGACCAGACTGGCCTCCAACTCACAGAGATCCATCTGTCTCTGCCTTCCAAATGCTGGGATGAAAAGCATGTGCCACCACTGCCTGGCTTTGTTCCTATAATCTTACCTTGCTCGTACTGGCTCTTTGTAACACCCAGTATTGCTCATTCTAGATTTGATTACTTGTAGTTTTGATCAGCAAAGTACAAATTGAGAAAGCTACTGCACATTCATTAGCTTTCATGAGCACGAGTTTTTTCAAACACTTGGAAGAGAAAACAGGCTATCTGCATACTTTTGAGGTGCTTCTTCTATGGGGAATCGATAATGTTTGGTGTCCACGAGGATTCAAAGGTCTCAGGTAGACCCTCCCAGCCACCTTCCATCTCACAGTTTAACTGCTTTTGCTTTGGTCCTCAAAATGTCATGAGCGCACATTTGAGTGTCATAAAGTATATGATAAACTAGAAAATGTTTCCTAGTATTGTAAATGTTGGCATAAAGAGTTCATGGTGAGCTAAAACTCTGCTCCCCCATCTGTGACTTGGGAAATGTGGACAAAAATTTGGAGAAATTTTCCCTAGAAGACAGTAAGCATTGTCTGTCCCCATCCCTGAGTCCCAATGACAAATCAAAGTTCAATTCTACAAAAATTCATCCTGGGTAACCAATTGGATTTTTAGGCTTATTGACAGAGCAATAGCTGACAGGTTATGGGCAGGAGCATTGGTGACCTTAAAACAGCCACACTGGGAGGTCTACACCCAGCATGGATGAGGATTCCCTCACAGCTGTCTAGACGGAGCTCCTTCTCTAGTCATTCCCAGCCTGCATACTCTAGCTCCTTGCCAAGGCCATGTGCAGTTAGGGCAGAGTTACACACAACTGTCTGGGAGGGTGGTGGAACACTCAGGTAAGGCTTCTGTGACCCTTCCCACCTCCTCCTCCTTTCTTGAGGGATGTCAATAGTCATCAAGGCCAGTTGGGATGATCTTTCCAAAGAAACTCCTGAAGATGACGTCTGTTGGCTCAGAGGATTGCCCTGTACAGCATCAAGAAATTAACCCTTTTTAAAATCTTCTCTTTCCTTTAGTAACAGCAACGATGGTTTAGAGATTGCTCATGGAGATAACATGGCAGCAAGAGAGAACCTTGAAAATGCTAATTTTCATGTTCTTATTTCTCATTAATGAATGGAATATTTGAAAGTATATGTTTTATTGAAGCATTCTATCCCTTGCTCTATTTTCTGGTAAGCAACAGGCTCGCCTTTTCTGGTTAAAGACTTCGTAAGGCAGAAAGTCCCTTCTGCTAGAAGAAAGATCATTGGAATGAAATGCCAATTAATAAAGATTGACTCAATCCTAATAGATTTTCAAAAATTCAAATTATGATTTTTATAACCACAGTATAATCCTAGAACTGGACTCAGTATTGTTAAATGTAAATATAAATTTTACAAATGAGGGAAACAGACTGAACGTCTGTTTTGGGTGAGGGAGTCACCCAAAGCAATGCAACCATTGTAGTCTTTGGAGACTCAATTCAGCCCTGATTTCTACTTCACTACTTGCTGTTGCAGAATGCTGATAAAGAAACCTTAGAAACAGATATGTTTCACTAAAGTGTTTTTCACACATCACTAAATATAACTGAAACTGCCCCAAAACTTCCTTGTTATGTGGAATTACATCTCTTCTTCAGGAATTGTAACGACAAAATTGCCTTTCTGACACTCCCCAGGCTCCTCACATTTCTTAAGAATATTTTAATTGCCCAAATTCTAAAATAATATATTTGTTCTATCTGTGTCTCTGTAATTCACATGCATGTCCTAGGGAGTTTGGGCAGCTAACAGTATGAACCAGGCATTCTGCCTTCATTGCCTCTGCCATACCCGTGGTCCACCAGTCAGTGGAGCTTTACAATTCCAGCTGTGCTACGCCTCCACGGTTCATAACCACTGAGCTCTCTGCAAAGTCCCCAAAGAGAAATATTAAATGGCATGCTTTCAGAGTAACCAGAGCTGAGTAGCATTTGAAGCAATATGCCAAGTTAAGTCCCAAAACACACCTTCCGTGGTTCCCTAGGAAGTACGGAATTTTACTTTCTGCTCAAGTCCGCCGTGACAGACCTATGAGGGACTACAAACAGAAGCAGACATTCCGTTCCCAGAATTGAACTCAGCAGCCTTAGCAATGGAGCTGGGTTGGAAACGAACAGCGCTGCCGAGTTGGCCCCATTGTCGTTTGCTATTCCGTGGTACTTATCAAAAGGCCAAGAGGAAGTTCTGATGGCGCCTAGGTGAGGCAAATTTGCTCTTCACTAGCCTGGGGGACGCCAAACTGCTCGCTCGGAAGAAATTAAGTTGGACAAACTCTAACAGTAAAGTATAACTGATAACTGAAAATCCAACGTCATTCTGTCATTTTATTTGAAACGACTCAAGACAATTAATGATAAAACCCATCAGCTCCATTTGCCCTCACCACGCATGCACACATGTGACTGCAAAGTCTATCCACTGAAGACTACAAATTGCAAATTTAATTAGGCCCCGAAAAAAGAGACTGAGGTCTGACTCATGTGCCCTATAAGCGAATCCTGCCTAATAAAGGTAGTTTTCATTTGTTAAGCTCTTCTTTGTGACGCAAAGCGTTTATGTATATGCAGTCCATTCTTCCCCATGTAACTGTCTAGTCGATTCTGCTAAAACTGAGAAAGAAAAGCTGAGGCTGTCAACGAGATTAAGTTCTCCGCCGTCTTTCAGCTGGCAGTAAGTGGAGTCGTGGGTTGCAGTAGGTGTAGCGGATTGTGAGCCCTGCCAACCCTTAACGGCATACACCTGCCACTACGGCAGCGCTCATTCTTCAAGGGCTATCTCAAGCCCTGCCGTTCCTACAAAGCTGAACTTGAGTTTTCCTGGTTGATCTACCAGGGAGACCGTGATCAAGGATGACTGGGCCAAAGTTGTGACTTCAGCGAGTGGGAGAACCAGCCAGCGGTCTGACTCCAGAGTTCACACTCCCCATCCCTCCAAGCAGGTGTTTGCACCCATCAGAGAGATGTGCAATCAACTCAGAGCCTCCTTGCATCACAATGAAATAAAAAAGTACAAAATAGAGTAAAATAAAAAAATACCAAGATGTCTCACCTAAGAAGGATAAATGTAACATGAATAATTGCTTTAGGTGTGGGGGGAAGGGGTTGGGTCATAATGTAGACTATTTATTTTCTAAGGAACGTTTACTTAGCTTTATGTGTATATGCATGTGTGTGCCTACATGGGATTATACACATCATCTGCTTGCAGGTACCATCGGAAGGCAGAGGGCAGCAGATCCCTTGAATTAGAGCTACAGAAAGTTCTGAGGCACTTGATATGGGTGCTGGGAACTGAACTTGGTGCCTCTGGAGGAATAGTCAGCACTCTTAACTGCTGAGCCATCTGCCCAGCTTCCTACAGTATAGGATGTTTCCAATTACAAGGGGTGAGAAAATAAATCAAATATCCCAGTCTTTTTAGATAACAGACCTCCAAAGTATTATGCGCTTCCCTTGCAAGCCAGCATTTGATATTATCAGTTCCTTCAGGGCTGAACAATGACTGTTGTT